TTGTCAGCCTTTGTTGGCAAATGCTCGGGCCTCGCTTGCCCTGGGGCCGCTTGGGCTTGGTCTGGGGCAGAGTGAGGCCAGGCGCCCTCCCCCCAGGCCCTCATCCCCTTCTTCCAGGGCTCAATAGGAGAAAGGGGAACGCGGGGCTCGCCAAGATACCCAAGGCCTCCCTGGAGAGCGCACAGGCAGAGGATGTCCCGAGAGGCCTGTCTCCTTGGGGCTCACCCAACCCCGGTCCCACCTCCTCCCCACAGTGTGGGGCCGGGTCCTTACCGTGTTCCCCGACCAGATGCTGGATCTTCTCATAGGAGTCGGGGCCCCTCAGGCTCAGGGGGCTGTGCTTGCTGGTGCCCAGAGGCCCGCTGGCCCGCTTGCCCTTGGGCCCGGGGCTGGCGCCCCCTTTGCTGCCCCCGGCGGGCGAGGGCAGGATGGTGGGGTAGTTCATGGCACCCAGCCCTGTGGCCAGCTTGAGGCTGGCAGCAGCAGCGGCCGCGGCGTGGGCCACTCGGGCCCTCTCCTGTGGCCCCTCCACGTGGCAGTCTGCGTGGTATACGCTGTGCACGGACTCAGCGTCCGGTGGCCCATGGCCCGGTGAGGGTGGGGAGGGCAACGTTCCGGCCCGCACCAGCCTGGTGTCCCCGGGGCCGGGCTCGGGGCCGGGCCGGCGTGGGCTGCCGTGGCTGAAGTGGTAGTGGTGGTGGTGGTGGTGGTGGTGGTGGTAGACCAGGTGGTGGACGGAGGCCATGTGCCTCCCCGCCCGCCTCGGCTGGTACCCGGGGCCCTGGCCGTGCAGGGCGCTGCTGGGGTCCACCTTCTTGTGCCAGCGGCTCTGCCAGCGAGCATAGAGACGCAGGCTGCGCCTCTTCACCTTGCGGCAGATGTGGCCCACGTACTTGAGCAGCTCCTCGTAGCAGCTGCCCGGCTCTGAGAAGCTGGCCAGCGTGCTGTCGTTGGACAGGTAGCGGGCGCGCTGCTCCCGCATGAGCTGGTTCTCCCGCTGCTTGGTCTCAGAGAACTGCGTGGCGATCACCACCAGGCACAGGTTGATCATGAAGAAGGAGCCCACCTGCAGCAGGCGGGCAGCGGTGAGCCCCCGTGGCCAGCCCAGGGAGCTGGGGAAGAGTCCTGTGGGCTGTCAGGGGTGGGCGGGGCAGGCAGCGGGGGCAGGAGCCGCTTCCACACGGCAGGAACCGAGTCCCAGGGGAAACGGTGAGCCCTACTGCTCGCTGCCTGTCCTCCGGGCCGGGGACACAGCCGTGAGCATGACTGGCATGGGCGCCGAGAGGGGTGGGGTCCCCAATGATATGGTGCCAAAACTCAGCACCTGCCATGGGCAGCCGAGTAAGGGCTCCTGGCCCATGTGTGCAGTCCACGTGTGGATGGGTGGGGCACAAGCGAGGGGTGGCAGGGAAACCTTTCCTTCCCATCATCTGTACGGCTTGTCCTCCCCAGGAAGGCCCCCCCAAAACCCTGGGCTTTATGTCCCCCACAGCAGGGTCACCCTGCCACACTGTCCTCAGCTCCTGCTTGTGATCAAACACAAAAACATCTCCCCGTCTCTATAGTGGGGTCGTTGCAGACCCTGCCCCGGACACCCCTATGTCTGGAGACCCATGTATACTGTGGAGGATTGTGCCTGGTGGGGGCACCTACACCGGGGAGAGTCCTGCCTTTGGGGTACCTGTTCTGTGCAGGGCTGTGACCCCAAGATGTAGCCGGGCCTCTTCTGCAACCTCTGCATGGGACCCAACCATGAGAGGCCTGCTAGGGGTGGGCTTCCCCACAACCACCTACCCCTGGGGGCTGAGCAGAAGCCCCCTGGCGCCCCACGGGCCGCCCCGGGCCTCTGTTGCCCACTCTGCAGCTCAGCTCATGCAAGGACGCCGAGAGTCAGCAGAGGCTGGGATGTCGAGACATTGGGGTCACGACGGCGCCCAGACAGGACTTCAGGGGTCTGAGGCTAGCTGTCACACCATGAGGGCATCTCCACCTACCAACACTGGTGTCCCCAAACACCCCGCCCGGCCCCTGGGACTCGCCCCGTCGCCCACACTCACAATGATGAGCAAAATGAAGTAGATGAAGTTGTAGAAAGAATGGGCATCCATGACGTAGTACATGATGTCCACCCAGCCCTCCAGCGTGATCACCTGCGGGGGCAGGCGGCTGCACACACGGACGGCCCTGGGAGGGTGGCAGGGCCCCCTTGCCTGCACCCCCCCACACACTCAGTGCACCCCCGCCCCCACTGATGGGGAAACAGGCCCTCAGCCGAGGAGCCGGGCCCCACCTGGAAGATGGCGATCCAGGCATAGCCGATGTTGTCGAAGTTGATGGCGCCGTTGTGGGGGTTGGAGCCACCCGAGCGGCACACGTTGTAGTACTGGTTCCAGTTGATGCAGGCGTTGCGGGTGGCTCCGGCAGCGTCGGCCTGCGGCTGCCCGTACGCCTCCCAGCCCAGCGTGCACTCCACACGCAGCTCCCGGCGGCTGGGGATGTGCGAGCACTTCTGCATGCCGTTGTCCCGCCGGGAGGAGCAGATGAAGGGATTCTCCTCGCCCTCCTCCGTCTGGTAGTACGGCCGCAGGAAGGTGAGGTTGTTGTTTCTGCAGCCGGCAGGAGGTGCGGACCCGGACACGTGTAGAGGCAGAGACGTAGAGACGCACAGGTGCACACAGAGACGCACAGGTGCACACAGAGATGCACAGGTGCACGCAGAGGTGCGGACAGACGCAGAGAAACAAAGCATGAGACACAAGTGGGGGTCAGTGATAGCGACGGACGAGAGAACAGAAACAGCGAAACAGGTTCATAAAGAAAAAACACAAGGGAACACGTGAGATAGATTAGGAAACAAACACCCAAAAGACGGAACCGCAACTCGAGTATTGCAGGAAGACCGAGTCCACGGATTCAGGGCTGGAAGGGAGGAGCCCGCAGGGGCGGGGCGTGTGGGGGCGGTGCCAGAGGGAGGAGCCCGCCGGGGCGGGCTTGCAGGGCAGGGCATAAGGGGGCGGGGCTGGAGGGGGAGGAGCCTGCAGGGGTGGGGCTGGAGAGTTGGAGCTTGTAGGGTGGAGCTGGAAGGGGGAGGAGCCTGTGGGGCGGGTCTGGAGGGGAGGGGCCTGAGAAGCGGGGTACGAGGGGGTGGGGCTGGAGGGGAGGAGTCTGCAGGGGCGGGGCTGGAGAGGAGGAGCCTACAGGGGCAGGGCTGGAGGGGAGGAGCCTGAGGCCGCCCGGCGCCCCGCCCCCCCCCCCCCCCGCGGGCCCTCAGGGGCCCCACCGGGCAAAGCCGCTGTCCAGGAAGCAGCGGTTGCGGAGCAGTCCGGCCCATAGCTGCACACCCACGATGCCGAAGATGAAGAAGACGAAGAAGCAGAGCAGGAGGACGTTCCCGAGCATGGGCAGAGTGTCCAGCAGCAGCGTGACCAGGATCCGCATGCCTGCGGGGCGGGGAAACAAGTGAGCACAGTGGAGCCCTCCAGGGGCTCCTGCCAGGCCCCCACCCCTTCTGCCATCCACACACGGGAACTCTGGGGGGACTCCCGCCGGGTCCCCACACACTCGGCCCTGAGAGCCAGTGACGGCCTACGCGGGGCAGAGCGAGGCTGTGGGCCTGGGTGATCTCGGGTCTGAATGACCCACTGCCAGGACCAGGCACATCCGGGGCCCCCGGGCACCTCAGGGACCCCAGGGGCTCCATGCTGCCTCCAGGACTCAGGAGCCAGGGGTCTTGCTGCGGGTACGGGGTTCAGGGAGCACCTGTTCCCACACCCTGCGTCAATCACACAGGAGCAGGGCCCGGCACTGGCAGGGGGAACCTCAGGGCAGGAGCTGGGGCTGTAGGAATGCAAATCAATCCAGCAGTGGGTTGGCCAAGCCCCCTGTGCCCCCCACTTACCTGGGCCTATCCCCTCCCAGACCTCAGAAGGGTGACTCCTTTCCCAAAACGAACAAGGGCAAGGCTGAGGCAGCAAACCATGGCCTGGGCCAGGGGGGCACCTGCCCTGGGCCCCCAGGGTCACAGACACGACTCACAAACAGACACACTTATCACAGAAAGACAGTGTAACACACCCCGAGGACAGCTATGGGACACATCCTGATGTGAGACCCCATTTTGAGAACACAAATGAAAACATTCAAACCACACCACGGGCAGTACTAGGGAGCTAAGCCCCTGTTAGGAAAAAACGGACATCAAATGACCCCCGACGTGAGCACCAACTAATCAAACTCCCTATGTCACAAAAACCACGGTAGACACAACAAACACACGGGAGGGAACCACAAAGAAGAGAAGACACGAGGGCGAGAGGGGAGACGACCACGAGACAACAGCAATCACAGAAGACCTACAAACAAAGACAACACCTATCAAACATCGCCAAGCACTCAAAACCGAGGAACACAAACAGGAAGAAGCATCAGATTAGGCATCACGGGACTAACACCCAGGTAACCCGACGTCATCCTGCATCCCCTCTCGAACCGCTGAGGAACAAAAACGGTACAACAAATAGGAGGCAGGTTAGGAAAACGAGACACCAAAAGAAAGATCGTGGAGGTACGATCCCCCATCACTGTACCCAACACTCCAGACACATGCCCTCTGCGTGGAGCTAGACTGTTGGCCAAGAGGACGGGACGTATCGCTGAACCCCGAGGGAGATTGAGGCAACACCAACAGAGGGGAGAAGCTAGTACGACCAGCCCATCGACGGCCTAGGCCTGGCGTTGCTGCTGCATGAGCAAACCATAGGACTCGCCCAAGCAGCTATGAGAAGCAGCCGAAACACTTCACAACCTATATCCGGTGGTTCCAAAAACACCTGGAAAGGGTAGCCAGACTACATGTGCCTTATCATAGACACTCTATCACCCCTACTCTTTAAACGGAGTTCCCCTCTCTCCATTCCCTCGCCCAGGATGTAAGTTAAGCCGCTTTTGGATTCAGCACACAGCAGTGCCTCGGCTGGCTAAAACTCCCATACATTCTCATCACGCCCCCCCACCTCCCACCCCTCCCTCCGTGCGGCACATGAAACAGGCCGAAAGTGACAGGGTGGGCGTGCTATTCATACAAGCAGCCACGATGACTTCACCCTAGAAGCATATCTGGTACGCTTATATCACTACCGGGAAGCCCCCAGAATGTACACCAGATGTAAGTACCAGACGAGCAATCCAGCTGGCATCGATCGTGGGGAGATCCGTAACTCCCAACACAACCCAGCCTGCCTCTCCCCATCTATCCCCTCAGACCACACAGTGCGGGGGAGCGACAGGACAGCTCGCTCCTATGCACCCCCATCGTCCTGTATATGGGTCCGGTCAGGCAAGCAACGTGCGCTTATATCCGTACTCCCACGGGCCCGGGGACCCTTCCTAGTAAACACCTAGGTCGTGAGGCATGTCCCAGGGGATGGCGGCACTCACTGGGCATTTCCACGGAATTATAGCACGGAGGGGCCTAGCAGCACACAAATTTTTCGCATTTCTCTGTCCTGAAGGCCTAAAATAACATGATAGTACACACGTAATATGAGACCCGACCAGCGGTACAAAATATTTCCATATCTGCTGGGGGCATGAGGGATATGGACCATCGTATATATTTAGCGGTTGTATGACCTCAGTAAAGCCTCTGGGGCAACCGCTCGGGCGTCCGTCCCACTCACTTGGCTCATATGTAGTCTGTCCCACACACCCAACACACAACCATCAGACCCTGGGAGTACTTCTATGATATAGCGAGACAGGGTACCCCAAGGCAAAGGCCATCGCCGGACTACACCACTACCCCCAACCGCCCAGCCGATCTCCCCAAGGGCCCCATGCAGAAGTGCAAAACCCCACCCCCAGGTGGCCTAGAGCAGAAATGAGGTATGGGCAGGCCAGGAGCGGAAATATAGATAACAGCGGTGCGCGCAGGGACCACCTCCACGCCCAACCCTTGACACAAGCGGGTGCGGGGTTTATCGAAATAATCCACCAGTCCATGATCAAAAAAAGACAACCAAAGCCAGATTCCACGTGTACCCCAGCAGACTGCTCTTCACTCTGTCCTGAAATATAGATCCACCCTGAGGCAATCATCTCACTCAAACCATATAGACCTCCAGACCGCGAAGAAAAGGCTAAAGAAAGAAGTATCGAGACGAAGGCCAGGCGAGGAGACCAGGGCCATGAAGAAGCCAGACGCCCAGAACAACCACAGACCCCCCATGGGAAATGAGATAATTGAAAATATACAAATAGCCATTCCGATAGAGACACAGCAGCGGCAGAGCAACCGCTACACACAAAACACCAGAACTAGTCAGCGCACCGCTCAGCAGCACTCGACCGTCCTCGCAGGGCCGGAACATGCCCACGGGTCACGCAGCATAATGTCAGCAAATGAAGAACCATCAAGCTGAATGTGCTTCAACCACTGGGAGCGGGCGGCCTGAGTTAAAGGGTCAAAAACGCGGAAGCAGGGAGACAATCAACGGCCGCAGGGAGCAGGCCCCGGGACCCGGGACCCACCGCCCCGCCCCGACCCCACTCAGTCGTTACCTGCCTTGCGAGGTAGAGCCCATCCATATCCCAGCCGTGTTTTGGATTCACCCCTCAACGTCATGACACCCCTCGTGCGCCTGGGTGACAACTGCTCGCAAGCTCCTTGGGTTACGGTAAAGGGTACAAACCGAGGCACAGACGTATTGCGCCCTCTGTCTGGGCAGCGCTGCCCGCCAAGCTGAGGTGGGGCCGCCCCGTATAAGCATATCTCGTCTTCGCTTGCGGGCTCAGATTCCAGCCTAAACCCAGCGACCTGACGGAGCTTCAGTGGCACCTAGACTGTCAATATAGTCGCCTTCCCTAGATGCCCCCTGCCTGCAACAATCCCAGTTCCTGCTCGCACTCCACGGGCACAAGAGCGCCGGCTCAGCTCACAAATGCTTGCTCCATGGGAAGCGAGTCACCCTACACACCTGCACGTACATTCACCAGCACCTACAAGGCGTCACCACATGGACAGAACACACCCCCCATCGCTCCACCCAGACCCACCCATCCCTCCATATGTGGACCGGCTGCCTTTTACGCCCCTTACGTGCCAGTGGTCCCCATCCTTATTATCAACGTGCATTGCTCCAATCTTGGTGTTTTTATCAGGATCTCCCGGGATACCTCTGCCACCTCTTTTACGAAGCTGAGGCCAGTCCGGCAAGCTGCAGTCCAGTCGACCACCACCCCATCTAGCTGGCCCCGTTTAGGTCCCACCACACCGCATTCACCCATGAGTTTGTGGGCCCAGAGACCTACTGAGACCACATACTGGAAGGATCCGCGGTGCAGTCCAGCCCGCCAGGGGCGCCGGGGCTCCACTCCATACTGCAACACGTCTAACATCATGCGCGCAGGGTGGAGGGACCTCCAGGGCATACTTTCACATGCAGGGAGTGACAAACCCTATCCACTACAATGAACCCTAACCGGAACTTGGGGGACACCAAGGGGGCCACTGTTGTGCAAATTCCGCGCAAAAGCACCCCACACGCCGATCCCCTTACGCGTGCAAGAAAGAGCCCCGTCACCACGCTATATCCCACCCACTCACGGTTGGCTTTCTGAGTTACCGCAGGGGCAATAAGGAGGGATGTAGGTGCCGGCCCCTCCAGCAACACATTGTGTGTCTGTATGTCAGCGTCGTTTTCTCGTCGTGCCTGCGGAGTGGAACAGGTTCAGGTGACAACGTGGCGTGAGTGACAGCCGGTGTCCCTGTGCACCACCACCCGTCGCTGACACGGACCGTGCGGCGCGCCCCCTCCCTACACCCCATAGCTCATCACCCGGGGATGAGCGTGGGCGTCGTCCAGATGCCAAGTGTCAGCCCAGGTGCGCGCGGGGCTGGCCCACTGACACGCTGACATTTCTGTCATTGTGGGTCCTGCCGAGATCGACCACGGTAATTATCTCTACTGCCTTAATTCTGGCGTCGCCGGTAAACCACAGTGCCTGTGCGGACGCCGTCCTGGACTGTGCGGTGAGGGACGGAGAGATCAGCTTCCGGCTACAGCTCGCAGCGGCCCACATGGGCCCACAACATCGGTGCCCAAGGTACTGGCCTAGGAACGGATGGGCGGCGGTTTCGTCGGCGATCCCGACAGCTAGAGGGGGTGGGTGGTCAGGCTGGAAAGTAGTGGCGCACAGGCTTAGCCGCATCTCCTGGCTCCTTGCAACCACCGCATCGATGTGTTGTTCACCTAAACCATATGCAATCCTCATCCCCCCCCCCCCGGCGAAGATTGGGACTCCCACGTACTTCGCCTGGGTAAGGGCCAACAGATGTGAATTCCAACACTTGGTGCGAAGACAGAAACACCCCCCACAATGACTTATTTTATAAAAAGTCTCAAAACTCTATCATTAAATCAAATCCAAGCAAAAAATGCAACAGAGGCGAGCAGCATGAAAGTGGGAAATCAAAGTGGCACACTGGTTATGTTATAGAAGCCATCATATACGGTACTATACTATGGGCTCTATCCTCTCACGCCCCCTGCATGCCTGCAGAGCAGCACCACAAAAGCGCTCAAACTCCCGACCCCCACACCGGCTGAATGCCAGTCTGCCACACTGCATGTCGGTAGGGGATGCCTTTGTTCCGCCCCTGAACAGTAGCCTTCACCCTCCCCAGCCCATGCACACACGAGCTCTATCCCCCTGTCCGCGCCTAAATGTTTCGTGGGCAGACGGCATGGCTTCCCGCGGGGGGGGGGGGGGGGGGGGGGGGGGGGGGGGGGGGGGGGGGGGGGCGGGGGGGGGGGGGGGGGGGCCCGGGGGGTGGGGGGGGGGGGGGGGGGGGGGGGGGGGCCCCCTATCCACCCTCCTCCCGTCTGACAAGCACGACAATGATAAAACCCTCTTACCACCAGGTCTCCTCACATACCACTGCAGCATCAGTCACATCCCCCCCTGGGACCCCTGTCTCATAGCCTCGTGCCCCCGACCTCTACACATGCTTCCACTGCATGATGCCCTGGAGCCCCCTCCCTCGCAGTACACCGCACACACAACTCAAATTCTCCTCATGCGAGCGTTCCTGTACCATACTCGGTGACCTCACATCGCTCTCCGCTGCTACCCTGCCCCTTAATAGAATCCTACCAGCTGCCCACACACACATTGCGGAACCAAATGTGTAGCCCATCCCAATACCTTGCCACCACGACCTGTACCCCCACCCCCGCATCCTGCTTTAAGACATAGCCAAGCTGGTGTGCGTCCCTGTCTCTGGCACCCAGCGCGAACGTGAAGGAAGGCAGATCGCGAGGAACGACCTCCCACCTCAGCATGAGTCCAGGGCTTCCTCCCGCGGCCCCAATACTGAGAACGCTACATCGACCCGGGGCAAGGGCGGGGCGGCCCACTACATACTCTCCTCACGCACCCCCAGGCACCAGCTGACGGTGCGCCCTCCGCTACACCTGGAAAAAGATCCCTGCTTGAGGTCCCCCAGCTTGGCGATCTCCCACCACTACAACATCTTCTTCCCAACCACAACACAAACAGCCCCCTTACCACAACCAGAAGATCCACATCCCACCCACCTCCCCCCAAACATAGACAGTACCTGACAGCTGGCCCAACACGCCAGGCTGGCCTGACCCAACCCCATGCGGCACAATCATAATGCCCAGGACACACACCCCCGAGGAGACCTGAGATTACTGGATAGCCACACGAAAACACCGTAACACAAGAAAGCCCCGATGACCTGCCAAACTGAGCGCCGAGCATCATCCAACGAGTGGCAGGGGACAGAATCTATAGAGGCCACAGAAACCAGAAACTGACACGAGTGCGTTGACCAAAACCAGCCCCAAAAATAGATTTCCACCATTCTACCGACCGAGATATCCCTATGACCCATCTGGAGAGCACACCACCTAAGCAGACAGCCGCCCCTGCTTCCCTCCACCCAACCCACAACAAATACCAGGAATACAAAGTGATCCCTAGGGACGCCCTACAGCACCCAGACCACGCCCCGTCTGATGAAAGAGGGGCGCAAGTAAACGAAGGTTCTCACCCAGAGTCTGCAGACAAGGGACATCAGCACATCTGCCAACTTAAAAGGCTCCCCAGAGGAGGGCGGAGCAGCAGCCTGGGGGACAAGGGGCTGGGTCGGGCCCAGCCAGAGCCAAGCGTCCACATACCATCGCCAACCAACACCAATTACAAACCGTACCCTGGCCAACCACCATAGTGGGCAGCAGAGGACTAAGGCCAGTGCCAAACCAGGCAGGCACACGTCCAGAAGACCACATTAGAGACTTTCAGGAGACTTAATTACACCGAATGGAATTTACATGGGTACTTTTAATAAACAATACCTTAACGGTCTATCTGAACCAAACATCTACACACATATAGGAGTCAATTTCCACACAACAAGGAACTACAAGATATCCATATGCTCAGTTGAGTCAACAAGAAAATCTGGAAGGCCGTGGCCCAAACCAAAAGCCGAGCAGCAAGCACGGGGGGGGCCGAAGGTGAAGGGTGAAGGTGGTCAAGTGCAAAGAGCAGAGGGGACTCCAACGCTACTGTGGGGGGTAAGCATGACCCGGCACAGATGATGGCTCACAGGCCCGTGGCCGCTCAGATCCGCAACCATAACTCTGACCCCCCTGCATAGAGGTACAATACCGCGGACCACCCAAGGCAAGACAGGCAGTTACACAGGTGGCTCACGAACGAGACCCGGGGATCCAAAGAGCCATCTAGAATGGCAACTAGTGGCAAACTCATGGGGCCTCAGTCTGCAGGGGGAATAAGAACTCAGCACACCGACCCAACACCATGTGACAGCCACACAGAGCATATGTGAGTGACTGGAGTGACACACAACCCGCCCTAGGCACATATACGCCAGCCCAACCCCACCATAATGCCCCCACCCTCTAAAAGACCTACTCCCTGAACTGATGTGGGAATTGTTGATCCCGCAAAGGAGCCACAAGACTTCACCCAATGCACAGCCACCCACCAAAATGGCAGCGCGCCTCACCGGCCCGGCCTCACCCCAAGCAGGTGGAGCCAGAGGGGGCCAGTCCCGGAGGACAGCACATTGCACCAAGCAACTCGAGACGAGCAGAAGGGGCTCCGAGTGCCGCGAGGAAACAGACCCCAAACACGTAAAACCCCAGGACCTCTCGGGGGATTACACGAAAGAACCGAGGGCATGCAGTCTACGAGGTATCTGAAGCGGACCTTCAGGGCCACGCAGGGTGGCGGGGGGCTACAAGGGCAAGAGGGAACACGCAAAGAGCGGTTCTAATTTTTTCTTTTTTTATAACTTTAAGTTTTCACTTAAACCTAACCTACCCATATGTAAATTCTCAAAAAACTCAATGATTTTATCCTTCAAATTTCAAAACCTATACCCAAACCATGGGACAGCCGGCCTGCTAGCGAGGCGCTTATCTGAGGTCGCCGTTCTCATCTCTCTGGTACCAGCAAACCTCATACCATCCATCTCTTCCCGGGCAACCCCGTCTGGTGTTCAGGATGCAGCAACTACACACCATACCAGGCTTCCAGGATGGACTGGAGCGGGGACGCCTGGCAGTGGGAGTGACCCTGGGGCCGCTGGGCAGCCCCGGCCACCGCCGCATGGAGATGCCATCAGTCCTAGAAGTCAGAAGGGCTCAGGCTCCTCGGTCCACGTCTCGGGGGCTGTCGCCCCTCACTGCAGCTGTGCCAACAGGGGACCCTGACGCTATGGGACCCAGAGGCCAGTGTGGCACAGGACAGTGTGACCCAACGGTGGGCCCAGACCCCTGAGCCAGATCTTCAAGGTCACACGCAGGCCCCCAAGGCCACCCAGGGCTGCTGTCTCGGGGCCCCCAGGGCCGTGCCGACCATTTCTCCCCTTTGCGCCCAGCTCTGAGCCCGGGGACAAGCGCCTGCCCTTCACACTGAGCCTCAGTTTCTCCACTCGTGGGATGGGAGCAACGCAGTTAGCCCTCAGGTGCTGAGGATGCGTCCCACAGGCTCCACGTGCCCCATCCCCCTCGTGCTCCCCTGGCTGGTCGCCAACACTGGGGGCGGGGTGCATCGTGTCTTCTCTAGGGGAGCCGCAGGCCAGCAGGGAACAAGGGGGCTGGAAGGCTGCAAGGACGGGGCCCTGACCCCACAGGCTGGGCCCCCTGGAGGGTGGCCGTGAGATCACGCACATAGAGCTGCAGAGCCCTGTCTCTGGAGGCCGAGCACCCTGCCTGCTGCCCCCCAGAGCAATCTGCTCGCCGGCTAAGCTCCATTAGGCTAAATCCACAACAGCTTGGCGCGAGCATCCCTGCGCCCAGGAAGGCGGTGGGCACGGGCAGCAAGGAGGACGGAGTGCAGGG